GGTAGTAGGTGTCAGTCATCATCCAGCAGCCCATCAAAAACTCATGAGCAGAGAAAGAAGCGAAAAGAATTTGGGTAAAGCCTTGAGCACAGACCCTCTCCGAGTGGTCCTTGGACCAGTTTGCCGCACGTGACAACCACTCCAGGATGCTGCCGAAAAATGGATGCTGCGGACGCAATCGCGGCATGGTTGGTTTCCGCAATCTTTCTTGGGTTTCTTTTGTTTTGTTCATTTAGCTTTTGAATTTCATGCTTTATAATGCTTATTTATTTCGTGCAAGACTATAAAATGTTCAATTCTCACAGGGTTAGGTAAACTTCTCATCTTCATGGCTCATGAACACCCTTTCGTGGCATTTTTCTCAAAGGCAATTCCTGCGACCAGTTGTAGCAGGTAGCAGGCGCCCAATCAACCATAGAAAACTCATCAGTAGAGAAAGTAGCAGGAACAAATTTGTGCAGAGCCATCCTAGCAGTGGGGTCCGCCCCTTGGACGACTTCTTCAAAAGGACAAGCCCAATCAGTAAGATTCCAGATGCAGGCGATCCCTGCTGGGGAATAGAAAATCGCTTCACGACGCTTCAGTCGGCGCTATGTGTACCCACAATTCCGCTTGTGAGCCGAAGTCCCCCACAGCTACAGTACGCTGCTGCAAGGGATGTGAAGCTCACGCGTCTCTAGATTCGCCCTCAGTTTCAAGTGACGAAAGTGGTAAATTCTCTGCGAATGCGGACAATGATGCCAAATGCACCAAGGCATTTCGCTTGTCTTGTTACTTGATCACGGAATATCTTTAAAGGCATAGATTGTCTGCTTGAATTACGCATGTTGGTTGTTGATCTGAAAATTTCTTGTGATGCCTGTCTGCAAACTTGAGTCGTCTCTGAACGTTCCATAATTTGAATACCGCGCTAACGTGTCCCCAGTATATAGATAGCTGTTTATTCGAGATATGCTGTTCCTTTGAACACTGCTTTTTCGTGTGAGCAATGGAAACTTTGGCTATGTTCTAATATTTAGCAAGAGGTGTGACTGAACGGGTTAGCGATAGATTACTTGTGGTTTCTGAATGTATAATACTGAGTCGAACAAACCGAAGTAGTTTTTGTGATAAATTTTTTGACTTCTTTCTGGGGTAGGAAGATTTTTTTGTTCTGCTTCACAAGTTCTCGGCTCTGAACTGCACACGTATACAGCGGGCGGCCAAAAAAAAAAAGTCATTTTGGGCCTGAGCCCAACATCATCAACGTAAGCTTTTCGCAGCCAGACAGTGGGAAGTGGATATGAGTACCAGGGTGGAAGATACCCAAGATCTTCCTCTATAAGCTGGAGCACGCTGCCGCCAATCGCCTTCATGTACGCCAAAATATGAAGTCATCTCCAGTCGCGGCCTGACTGGAGAACACCTTTGGAATTCACGTCGCCTCCAAACAGCTGCGAAACTTCTTGAATGAAGTCATCCACAGATAGCTACCTGGAGGTCAGTACTCTTGATCTGCAAGACCTCCCACATCGACCAGCTACGGCAACGTCGCTACGGTCTAGGACATCATCTTCACCGTATTCGCCGAGGCGCGAGTTGATGGTATGGACCGGGGTACCTGGAAAGGGGAAGACCGATATTTTCTTTGTAGACCCCGACTGAAGGTGAGCGCTGGCGGTTACATCAAGTAACTCGAGAAGAATATCCTCCCTACATGTGGTCGCCCGTACCTTCTTGGAGACCTTGTGCTACGTAGTTTGGGTGCCACCACATGGAATCAAAGGGTTTTGGAAAAACTCCCGCCTACTCGGAATGGAAGAACGTTGAGTACCTGGAAAAGATCTAGTATTTAAGCGCAGGGGTCCTGAAACGGTAACCCCGCTGCGAGATGTCACGGCGCGTGTTCGGGCGGGCTAACAAGGGTGTCTTACGGTGGCGGAGAAATCAACGATCTCGCTCAACTCCGGTACCCACTCACTTTCGCGCGGCCGAATCTCTCGATGGCGCTCCTCCAGAAGGCTGTGGCGGAGTATCATTATAGTATTTGATGTGCTCTTTAATATGGTAGTAAAAGTGTCCGATAAAAATTTAATAAAGTGTAACTTATAGCGCCTTGAAAGTCATGGAGGCAAAATGACTTTTTTTTGGCCCCCCCCCCCTGGTCATTTTGCTTTGCGGACCAAACGATGAGAGGATATCTACACATTTACATCGTCTTTAGGTGGAAGATATTACGCATGCGGGATCGATCGGTGACCTGATCCCGCCCATTAAAAAAACTGACGGTAAATCTGCACGCTCTCTTCAGCCTTTTGTTAAGACATCATCCTCGGTCTTACCAAATCAGAGAGAGATGTGCTTTTTGAAGTCGAAAAAGGAAGGTTGCTTCTGAACGACTTTGTGATGGTAGGCTCGCAGCGGCAGCATGTGATTGAGAAGTTACCTCAGACAGATCATAGAGTATAGGCGAGCTCAACCCGTTGCGCTGTCAGCTTTTCGCGAACCTTATCCTCTGACTTACCAGCCTCAAACAGAGGTTTGACATGGAGAGAATGAAAGTCGGAAAAGGCGGCTGGATCAGAACACATGGTAAGGTGGCTCACACGTTCCCGGAGCAACACGGTGGCTGAAGGATTCAAGTCAGATGTACGGACGAGCTCAATTGTGCCATTTTCAAAGAGCAGGAGGAAGCAACGGACTGCTACACCTATCATGGCGCCGAACAGATGCGATTATCATAAACCTGGGCTCAATTACACGCGATTTTTACACAAATCTGAGGGAGAATCTCCCACTCTCGTCCACGGCATCATGTCAAAAAGGCCCCTACTAAGGCCATCTCACTTGGTAGGCAGATGTCGAGAAAAGAGTTGAAGCCTCCCTGGATATTGAAAAAGTGTTCAATCGTCTACAGTGACCTGTCCTGTGGAGGGCACTCAGAGGCAGAATCTTTCCGAACACCTGATCTCCCTTGAGAAGGATATCCACGGTGGAGCCAACAGTAAGGTGGTGTTACTCATGCCACACAACCTTGCAATGCAGATAGATACACGGTGAAACTACACTGAAGATCAGCTAAGAGCGTATCTGTTCGTGCTAGTGAACGAGTGAATCGCACATGATGGCTTTGCTTGGTCCCTTTTCTGATTATTCTTCCCATTTCTCCTCGAGTTTTTGCTTAATTGTCGCCGTCGAATTTCGGTTTGTTTTATTAGTGCCATCAGATTTTTCATGATAAATTCTTTCTAGCTTCCGCATAACGACAACAGTGATGGCATTCCTCCATTGAATTGAAATCACGACGCTTCTCGTAAGTGGAGCTTCGGAATTTTTTCATCGTACTGTACAGCAAGAATACCATTACCAAGGAATATCTAATTGATAGGTTCGCTGCATTTTTGTCGTCCAGTTTCCACCGAGCACTTTGCTGCTCGTATTCTATCAGTTTGTCAACTCAAAATACAAAAGGCAACAATTTCACCTCTGTTTACAACCTTGATGTCGAATTATCTCTCAAACCCTTCAGCATGTTGTTATAGATCTGTTGAGAAAGTACCCATTTATTGCGGTCCCTGCCTTCCTTTAGAGAAGCATTTCAGAGGATCTTGAAAGCAGATTCTCTATGACGCTGTTTGGCTTGATAAGCAGGAAGATGGTGGATTGTTGTGGCTTCGCTCAGTACCATTTAGTGCCCACTGCGCCTTTCGTGACTTGGTCCTATCATCAGGGGGTTGAGATACCGCTTACCACTTGAGAGATCCTTTTCATTTCCGTAGAAACGTTTTAAACGGATTTGCTTAAGCTTCAAATAGCAAGAGACGGTGTCCCATCTACCAGGGAGGGCTATCTGTAAACAATTCAGTGCACGGCCTGCCATTGGGGAGAATTGCGCAAAGAAAGTCTTCGTCAAAATCCCTCCTCCGGTGCGAGAACTCTTGATACTTTGGCACTCCTCTCCAGTGATTTATTTGGCGTATTTTCTAATATTACATTTACATATGAGGTGTTCAGACTGAAATTTAACAACTCCCCATAGATTAGGGGAGTAGGACTTTGAAGCACGCTCCGCGTTCATTTGATGTCCAATCGCCTTCTTGGGCAATTTAGTGCTACCTGCAGGTGTCGAGGATGTACGACTTCCGCAGCACAAAAACAGGTGAGAAGGGCGACCTGGAGAGCGACTCAACCTGACACTACAATTTGAGCACTTAAGTGCTAGTGGAAATAGAAGCTGCTACCTACAGGCACGGAATTTGCTGCAGAACAGAATAAAATCTGGTGGCAAAATTTTCCAACTTCAGGGCAGACCTTTCAAGTGAGGAAAGAACGCGTTTACTCATGGACCAACCCAATACATCGGAGAAAAGCGCATCTTTCTTCTACTGCGTCGCCTAAATCAATAGTGATTTCGTGAGACAGTTCAGATATCAAAGCTTGTGCTGTAGAACCATTTTGAGATATCATCGTCGTTCAAGATGGTAGCAGAAAGCGCTATCTCTCAGAGGTACGACAATATTGTGAAGAGCCCCTCAGATCAAAGAGAGGTTCGTCTTTTTCTCATTCAGATTTTTATACTCAGATTCAGGAAACGCAGTGACATAGCCTCTCTATCTGAGGACCCGGCCCCGTGCCCTTATTCACCTCCCCCCCTCCCCTCCCCCCCCCCCGTTCGCTTCCTGCGCTGGCATCGCGATAGAGAGGTGGCACGGCTTCGCTTAAAGAGATGGGGCGATTGGGAATCCAGTGCGCGGCCTAGCATTTGGTACCACACGCAGACCGCGAAGACATGTCTGATGCTCAGACCAACCGACTATAATCTCGTTTGGATTATGTATTTGATTTCAGGTCCGTCTGCGAGGTTGAGTTTACGAAATTTCCGCATCCGCTCTCCTCTGCAGTTCAGTATGGGCGAGATTGTAGTGCAGAAAGGTACAGCATTGCTGGCAGAAGCCCATGAGCAGGTCGTCTGTGGTCGCTGAAGAAAAGTGGCGGCCCCAGGGCAGGGCGAGTCAGCATTGATGACGAAGCAAGCGGATCCAAATTTTAACAGCGCAGCGAACGATCTTCTTGCTATCGTACCGCTGTTATCCTACGAGGGAAGGTGGTGGGGAAGGCGGGGAAGCGGGCGTACTCCTACCCACTCCCTTCCTTCAGTTCAGAAAGAATTCTTCTTATACATCGGGCCATGGTTCGAGTACTTACACGGTCAAGGCCACACAAGCCTTGTCCTATTCTGGGGCTGGAACTGGAATAAGAAGAATGAAGGAAGGAGGCTAGAAGGGATTCGGATGCTGAACTACACAACGCCTTATCTCTATTGTGTTATTGTCTACCTTTTCCCCTTCACTGTTCATTTCAAGACAAACACAGGTCACGATGGTTGTGACAGAAAGGCCAGGTCTATTGCAGTCCCTTCCTCATTGATGCATTTTTGGAGAAGGGCCAATGAGGAAGGTAGAAGGGTAGGATCACTCCGCCCATTCGATCGGCTAAGGAGTGCCTCCTTATCTGTATTTTTTAAGAGTGATTTCAGCAAAAAGTGAAGAATTCACTGTCTTGCAGTATCGGGGACTTGAACTCACAAATGGCCTCCGGGTACTACTGGTATCGGATCCCACTACAGATAAATCTGCCGCTGCAATGGATGTTAATGTCGGTAGGCTACTATTACTTATGTCCAATGGTATGCACTGTTTCCTCGTATGAGACTATAGGAACACTTTCAAACTTCGAATATCTTCTTTTAACGAGTTGAATGTTCTGTAGTGGTCTAATTCCAGGAAGTCCTAATGGATCCATGGGAGTTGCAAGGGCTGGCACACTTCTGCGAGCACATGCTGGTTTCTTGGTACTGATAAATATCCGAAAGGAGAACGAATTCTTGAGTGTAAGTCATGTAAATAAAATTGGGTCACGTAGAATTATAGGAACTATCCGATTCCCCAAAATCTTAATCTCATTTTTTCTCACCTCAGGTTACGCAGTGTCCCGATCACGAACATATCATTCACTTTCGGCGTCAGCACCATTTGGCCCCAAGTGGTCGTACCATTCATTTTCATTAGAATCGATACAAACTAGCATACCAGGGTTAATTTGCGTTCAGATTGAGAATTCAGAATTTTTCGCTTCGCAGGCCATATTTGGTGTCATGATTGGGTCGTCTGTGGAAACTCGGTCCTGCCTTTTTTTTTGCAAAATCGGAATAAACTTGCACACGGGGGTAACTTTACGATTATCCATCTATCTATCTATTTATATCTATCTATCTATCTATTTATTTATCTAATCATCTTAGTCTTATCATATCCATCCTATCTCTATCTACTATCTTATCTTACTTTATCTTATTATCTATCTTATTTATTCTATCTTATCATATATAGAGATCTATCTTACTCCTACTCTAGTACTACTCTATCATAATCTATCCTATCTATCTACCTATAATGTGCTACTCGTTTTTTTTGTTTTGTTTGTTTGTTTGTATTCGTTCGTTTGTTTGTTGTCGGAATCGGTTCTACTCATAATAACTGACTATGAGAGTGGTTGTTGTCAAGTTCGGGATGTCTTCGGTAGGGTATGGATTTTACAGATTTCTGTATTTTTAGCACCCATTGAGCACCATGGTGGACGCCGCTAAACAGTCTGTGGCTTGGGGGTTGCGTCTCGATATTATTGTTAGCGATGTCTCACTGGGAAAAAGCATTAATTCGGCCTACAGAGCAGCGTTCCGAATGCGGAAAATGTGGGGTAGGGCGTTAAGCAAGGATTGACCATCAAATAAAGGAGGCACACTCGGAATAGGCGAGACCTACTCGAGATGGGCGGCGCTTCCCGCAAATGTCGGTAACTCGGTCTCTGAGGGAGATCGTAGATTGCAAAAAACAGGAGCCACAGCCAAGATAAACATCTGGAAAGAGTCCGTCGAATCTGCGGTGTGCTGAGACCCGCCCGCAGTAGGAGGGGCATGGCCTCAAAGAAGTATTCTAAAGAAATCGTATTTTGTTTCTAGAGCATTACTGACGACGTAAAAAAAGAGGATTACGTTCCCCAAGTGGCTATCACGTGAGAATTGGGAAAAACACCCGTTGTGAGTGGAGCCTAAGCTGTGGGCGGGCTGAACGGAAATTCGCGAAACGGTTTCAGAGCGCTCCAGACACCGGGAGTAATTGGATTAATGTCAGCACTGGGTTACCTGTTGCGAAGTTCGAGGCACATCTTTTGTGGGCGGAGCGTGCCGAGAGGTGGCGAGTGAGTGGCGAGACCTTAGCTATCAGAAAAAAGTCGTTGGAGAAAAGGTTAATATGGCGAAAGTTGAGGGTCTCTGTAGTGTATAGAGACCCGCCCAAAGTGGGCTGTGCGTGCCCTCAAGTTTTGGTTTTACTGAGCTGCAGAGCATCGGCAGCCATACACTTAACCACCGGTCGTCGTAGGTAAATTCAATACAGCTCGCCGGCTGACGCCTCCTCTCTTATACGGCCTCTCGTTACCGGACTGGCGTGGCCTCGCCTCGCCTCGCCTCCCTGCTTTCGTCCACTTGAATGTATGACTAGTACTTAGCTTCTGTCATCTCTGCACTTCATCAACGCTCCTTGTCACAATTCCATGCACAGTAATAGTGTAGACAAAGGCAGGCATGATGTTATTGGTCAAAAAGTGTCAGTCATTTTTTAGATAAAAGAAAATCACGATATCAGTTAAGTATGCAAACAAAAAATGTAAGCCCTGCCCGCTCAGCGAAGCCGACTGGTAGCACTTTTCAACGAGGTCGCCATCTGGCACCGATAGGTGTCAGTTTGCCGATGGGTTTCTCAGAAAAAAGGTGGTGGGGGCACATTCATATCGACCTGTTTTTCACCAAATCGATGTTGGTCCCAACACTTTTTCACCAAAACTGGAATGAGCTCCCATACTAATACTACATATCATTACGGTTGTAGCGTTCATTTTCAACACGGGCGCCAGTGGGAGCCGATAGGTGTTGGTTCGACGTTACCATCGTTTTTCACCAAATGTATATAAAGCATCATACCGGGTTCATTTGGCATCCTTCTTACAGATGCTCATTTCCTGCGCCGGCACTAACGGAGATCACTTTCTTTGTCTACGCCAAGCTAGCACTGAGGCCAGTTGGTGGAGATCATCCTCGCAGGTTCAGCCTTAAAAGTACGGTCCGCGATCAGTGAAGAAGACGTGGTTCGCGACGAAAAATCTTGTGCCGTGGTGTTATGACCGTCCCCAGATTGATTCTTCACAAAGTGTGAGCACGAGCTTGATCTGTGAGAACAGTCGCAGCTTAGGTAAAAAAAGCAATTTATTGTCAACTAATAGCTGAAAACAGAAACCTCACACTCCTCCCTGGTCTCTCCCGCCAGCCCGCCAGATCGCGGTGGTGAAGAGGAGTTCGGAGCACTTCCTGCTCCCTTCCATTGGTGGTCCGTTACATTTTATCTTTGGAGCTACAATGCTCTCCTTGTCATTGGCGGCCCACCTCCTTTGAACCAGTACCGGTTTCGCGGGAAAAAATTGTAATAGAGGGGCGCTATAGCGCTATGCAGGTTCAGCGAGTTCGGAGAAGTTCCTGCTCCCTTCCATATGCCCAGAACAGTGAATAGACCCCGTTCGCAGTGGACGCCTTGAATGAGAGACGTCGGCAAGCCGAAGCAACAGAATTCGACGACGAACACCAATTCCCGGCAAGAGCACAGGGAGTTACCCTACGACGCTCCAGGCAACGCTATGTACCCGCGCGATTCCGCTCGTAAGCCGTGGTTGCGGTAGTTGCGGTAATCACGCGCCTCTAGCTTCTTTATCTCGCCGTTTCGAGTGACGAAAGTGGTATATTCTCTGCGAATGCGGACAACGATGCCAAATGCACAGAGGCATTGGGACAATGTTGAATGGACTTAATCGCGGGAGCTTTCTCTCAGAGCGATGATTAGCGCTGGCGTCTAAAAATGAATATGGTTTTAGAAATCAGGATTCCTATCTGAGCCATCAAAGAATCGTGTTAAGAATGTTGTTGAATGAATGTGAAGAATAATGTTAAAAACTTCTTGAGAGGTGCCATGCTGGCGCCGATGCGGAGAATTCAATATTGTATTTGTAATGAGAATAGTCTTACAAGCGAACCCTTCGATCCGGCCATTTGCAATGAGATGTATATGTGTGGACGTGTCTTGAGCCGCTGAATCCAAATCTGCCCTCCGAATTTGCGGAACGATTCTCTGAAGGGAGTTACGGACCATTTAATCTTTGCTCGTTGCACAAGTTGAGAACGATAACTGCATGCGGCAAGCGGCCGATGGTGTGGTGGATATGCGCGGCGGGGCAAGGTGGCATGTTGGATTCCCTGACTACCGGAAACTTTTGCTTTCATTCAAAACACTTCATATGAGTCCCTAAAACACTTCTGTTTGGCCAATTTACCTAGTTCTTTAATTATTTGACATCAGGAGCAAGCAACTCGCCTTTTCTGTTTCCTTTCAAGAAGTTTTATTATGAGGATATCCGTTTATTAAGCTTGCAGTAAGAAATGAAGATCTTATGGTTTGAGAGCACATGTGGTATTCTTCCACGAAATGATGGAAACAAAACAAGCTCTCACAATGAGCACAGAGAATACAAAAGTACGACCCCGAAGAGTCAAAATTTTTCCCGTGAAACTTTGCCACAGGGATAGTTCGGTGTCCACGAATATAGCACTCTTTGTGGCGCTGCCGCATTTCTCACCAAATTCTACGTAATGTTGCATAGTAGGGTTATTTGATGTCCTGATCACGAATACCGCATTAGTTCTCAGCGATGGCGCCATTTGACGCCAATATGGCGCCGGCGCCTGTAGCGCGGGCTCTAGGTGGTTTCAGACCGAGCGGATGTGATATTCGTGTTCAGGAGGTCGAATTACCCCTAGAACCCAACTTTCAGCCAAATCTGCCCCGTAGAAAAAAGTCGATCAAGATCCGGCCTGTTTCCGAAAATTGGGGTAGTAATAGTTGAATTGTGGCAGAAGTACTCCCACACACGGTACAGTTACAGTTCTCCACCAGTTCAGAGAGGAAAGCGGTGATGAATTTTTTTAATTTTGAACGAAATCCTGTCCACGTGTTCTGTGCAAAATTACCCGATATGGTCACCACCCATGATTATGATCTACCCGTCTACATCTACAGCCAGTTGTTGCTTTCTTGCTCTGTCGTAATGTTGTGCCCGAAGTTGGCGTATCCGTTGAGGGAAATCAGAGAACTAGGTAAATTGGCCAACAGAAGCGTTTTAGGGACTCATATGAAGTGTTTTGAATAAAAGCAAAAACTTCCGAGAGTCAAGGATTCCAACATGCGACCTTGTGTCTCTGAAGCAGTGCGCTTACCCACTAGGCCATCGGCCGCTTGCCGCACGCAGTTATCGTTCTCAACTTGTGCAACAGCAAAGATTAAATGGTCCGTAACTCCCTTCAGAGAATCGTTCCGCAAATTCGGAGGGCAGATTTGGATTCAGCGGCTCAAGACACGTCCATATATATACATCTCATTGCAAATGGCCGGATCGACCTGTTGGGGTTCCCTTGTTATTCGTGTGTTTATATCAGTTTTGAATAAGGAAGTGCTGCGGCAAAATTCACTAGCGCCATGCTGGAGCCAAATGGCGACGGTGCTGAGGATGCATGTCCAAATTTGTAAATCCGGGAATAGCTGCACCGAAAATAAGGGTAGTAAGGGGGTCTATGACAAATTTGGAGGGAAAAAGGGTGAAGCGGAATCGGCAGCTGCTCCTATTTGTGATCAGGACCTGAATATTTCCCGTAGTTAGTTTGGACGAGAAAACCGCTTAGGATTCTGTAGTAATCTTATAAAAATCTTATCCAGTGCTCTAATCCTTGAACGTTTAAGTTTATTTCCGAGAACGGTGGAACGTATAACGCTACCACAGACGCCGACCACACAAATTACCACTTCGACATAAAGCCGGACGAATTGAAGGTCAGCGAGTCGCTCCATTCCTTGGATATTTCTGCAGAAACCGGTCCTATTGAGCGGTTCTGTCAACGGAACACTGCAAAAATCAATTTTGAACTGTTTGCGTTTCACTTATCGCACATGACCAGCGTATTTCACCACTCTTCGCTTTGAAAGTAGAGAATCCAGTGCGCGGCACAAATGACCAAGGGGCGCTAGTGTGGTTATAATCCCTGCAAACGATAG